TGTTTTAGTTGACTGCAATAATCCATGGGTATTAATATTTAAAAAAATACTTTATTTTTCCATTTGTTGAACTGTTTTCATATTATTTAAATTTTTTTACTATTTGTGTGTGTGTGTGTGTGTGTGTGCGCGCACGTGCGCGCACGTGCCGTCAAATTGCATCTGACTGGTACTGCTCCTTCTCCAGCAAAGCATCTGGTGGACTTGAACAGTGCACCTCTGGAATTGCAGTGCAGCTTCTTGCCACTAGGCCACCAGAGCTCCCCTATATTTTAATTTAAAATATATTTTTGTCACAGAAATTTCAATTTTTATGCAAACAAGTATATTTTCCTTTGTGATTTCCTTTATCATTTCTAAACTTAAATAACTCCATTTGGTAGTTTGAAAATGATATATTCCATTTGTGTTTTTATAGTTGTGGTTGTTGTTAGGTACTGCTGAGATAACTCCAACTCATAAGAATCTTACGTATAACAAAATGAATCACTGTGTGATCCTGTGCCCAAATCATTGCTATGTTTGAACCCACTGTTGTGGTCACTGGGTTAATTAATTTCATGAAGTCTTCCTCTCTTTTGATTAAATTCTACTTCACCAAGTGTCTATCTTTCTCCAACAACTGATGTCTCTTAATGATTTGTCTGAAGTAAATGAGACAAAAGCTAGTCATCCTTGTATCTAAGGAACATTCTACTTGTACATCTTCTGAGACAGATTTGCTCAATCTTTTGGCAGTTGATGGTAGGTATAGCTGATAGTCATAGCTAACATCATAATCTGAATGCATCAATTCTTCAGTTTTCCTTTTTCATTGTTCAGTTTTCACATGTATATGGGGTGGTGGAAAATACTATGGCTGGATCAGGTACATTTTAGTCACCAAAGTGCCATTTTTTGTTTTTTGTTTGTCTTATTCTTTTTTTGGCATGTACCATCAAATCAGGTCTGACTGGTATAGGAGGAGATTGTCCCTCCTTCTCCAGGACAGCATTTGGTAGATTTGAACCTTGTACCTCTGGGAGTGCAGTGCAGATTCTTGCCATTAGGCCACCAGAGCTCCCTGACATTTTTTGCTTTTTAACATTTAACAAGGTCTCTTGTTGTAGAATTGCCTGATGCAATGTTGCTCTTGTGTACTGTTAAGTCGGAAATGACCCATAGCTGATCCTCTACTAGGTTTTCAGAAGCAGGGTTTTCTGATTACACAGAAAGAGACTGCTCATTTTTCTCCTGTGGTGGTGATTTTGGGCCATGTACATTTGTGTTGGTAGCACAATTTCTTACCAGTAAGCCATTGTCTTTTTTTCTTTTTTAACTGAGTGGGAGTTCTGGTGGTCTAGTGGCAAGAAGCTGTGCTGCAATCCCAAAGGCATGTGGTTTAAGGCCACCAGCCACTCTGCAAAAGGATGGGAAATCTCCTTCCATGTGATTAACTGCCACTGAAAACCCACCGAAGGGTCAGCTATGAGTCAGTTCTGACTCTACGGTACACAACAACAAACCAGTACAATAGGCAAGTCTGCTCTCAGGGACAGCTCCACAATACTGAAGAGCAATGATGTCAGTCTGAAGACTAAAATGCGCCTGATGCAGGCCATGGTTTTTTCCATTACTTGCTATGCATCTGAGAGCTGGATAATGAATAATGTTGGAGAAAAATACTAAATGGACTTTTTCACGGACTGCCAAAAGAATGAACAGGAATGTCTTAGAAAATGTGCACCTGATCCCGATGCTACAGTCACTGTGTCAATCCATCTCATCCAGGGCCTTCCTCTCTTGTGCTGATCTTCCACCCTTCCAAGCATGATATCCTTCTCCAAGAACTGGTCCCTCCTGGTGACATGCCCAAGCAAGTGAGATGGAGTTTTAAAATCCTTGCCTCCAAGAAACAAACTGGTTTCACCCTTTCCAGGACAGACCACTAGGTAGTTCATGGTATGTTCAATTCTCATTTCTGGCATGGAGACTCAAAGGCATTAATTCTTCTTTTTTCATCTTTATTCATCATCCAGCTCTTGGATGCACAGCAAGCAACTGAGAAGAGCGTGATCTGAATTAGGTGCAGGTTAGGCTCTACACCGACATCATCGCTCTTTAGCACTCTGGAGAGATCTTTGAAAACAGATTTTTCTAATGCAACTTTCTTCTGATCTCCTGACTGCTGGTGACAAGAGTGTTGACTATGGATCCAAACAAGATAAAAATCATTAACAACCTCAATTCTTTTCCCATCTATCATGATACTACCTATTGGCCCAGTGGTAAGTATCTTTGTTTTCCTGAAGTTAAGATGCAATCCATATTGAAGGCTGGAGTCTTTGACCTTCTGCAGCAAACATTTCAAATTGTCCTCAGTTTTGATGAGCAAGGTTTTGTCATTTGCATAATGCAGGTTGTTAGTATTCCTTGAAGCCAGATGCCACATTCTTTTTTTTTAAACTTTTTTAATTAATGATTTTTTAAGTGCAACATATTATATTTTTATAGCTATTCTTTCCATTTAATTTTCCTCCCATTCATTCATTGTTGCACATTTTCTCCCTGCCCAGTTCACTTTTCTCTTTGAAGAAAAAGAAATTGTTATACAACCCCCGCCCAGTCCACTGTCCACCTCAATATGCATTTCTTTTTCTGTAATCTTATCATGAAAATAATATCTAATCCTATATTCCTTTTAAACACTTCTCTCCCTCATCTGTTTTAATGCAGTGTACAGTATTTAGCTCCTCTTTTTTTAAGTTCCCCCAACCCCGTTGTCAGTCCCATTTTACAATAGTGGCGCTATGCAGTATTTGTCCTTTTGTGACTGAGATATTTCACTCAGCAGAATGTCTTCCAGGGTCACCCATTTTGTATAATATTTCCTGAGTTCGTTTTTCAATGCAGCATAGTATTCCACTGTGTGAATATACTACAGCTTCTCATTTGTTTGTTGATGGGCACTTGGGTTGTTTCTAACTCTTTGCTATTGTGAACAAAGCCTCAATAAAAATGGGTGTGCATGCCACATCCTTCTTAATAAAGTTCAGCCTTCTGAATACTCTATTCTGCATACCAATCAAAAAGGTATGGAGAAAGGATACATCTTTAATGCTTTCCTTTCTTGATTTTGCACCACAGACGCCCCCTTGCCCTGTTTGTACAACAGCTTTCTGGTTTAAGTACAGATTTTGCATAAGCACAATCAGATGTTTTGGGATTCCCATTCTTCTTAATGTTAGCCACAGTCTGTTGTGATACACACAGTCAAATGTCTCTGCATCATCAACAAAACACAAATAGACATTCTTCTGGTACTACTATCAGCCAGGATCCATCTGATATCAGCAGTATCCCTGGAACCATGGCTTCTTTTAAACTCAGCTTATACTTCTGGAAGTTCTCTGATGATGTACTCTCCTAGTTGTTTTTGGATAATATTCAGTAATATTTTGCTTGGATGTGATATTAGTGCTACTGTTTAATAATTTCTACATTCTGTTGGATCACAAGTTTTGGGAATGGGAATAAATATGGATCTCTTCCAGCCAATTGGTCAATTTTTGGGTCCTATCTAACAAATACATGCAGGACTATATCTGTTTGTCAAAATATATCAACTGTTATTCCACTGATAGCTGGAATCTTATTCCTTCAGCAGCTTGAATCCCCCTTTATTATAATTAGTTTTTTATCATACCCTACTTCTTGAAAAAGTTGTGTCAGCCAATTCTTTTTTGTACAGGGACTCTGTGTATCCCTTCCATCTTCTTTTGATCATTCAATATATTGCCCATGGCATCTTGAAGTATTGCAGCTCGTGGCTTGAATTTGTTCTTCAATTCCTTCAGCTTGAGAAATACTGAATGAGTTCTTCCCTTTTGATTTTATGACTCTAAATCTTTGCATGTTTCATTATAATACTTTGCTTTGTCTTTGTGAGGAGCCCTTGAAATTGACTATTCAACTCTTAGCTTTGTCATTTCTTCCCTTGTTTTGCCTTCCTGACATTCCAGAGTGATATTCAGGGTCTCCTCTTACATCCATCTTGGTCTTTTCTTTTTCCTCTGTCTCTGTAATGACCTTTTGCTTTCTTCATGGATGATATTCTTTTGTTCTTGTTGTTGATTTTATGTGCTATTAGTCGCTTGTGACTCATAGTGACCCTGTGTACACCAGCTCTGAACCCTGATCTATCCTGAGCCAACCTTAGTCTCTGACACACTTACTCCCATTACCCTAGTCAATGAGCCAATTCATCTCATTAAGAGTCTTCCTCTCTTGAGCTATCCCTCCACCCCAAGCATGATGTCCCTCTCTAAGGACTGATCCGTTCTTGAAACATGTCCAAAGTATGTCAGATAGAGCTTTAGAATCCTTGCCTACATTGAACAGCTTGGCTTTAGCCTCTCCAGGGCAAACTTGTTTGTTCTCCTAGCAGTCCATGGTATATTCAATACTCTTCTCCAGCACTACAACTCAAAGGCATCAATTCTCCTTAGTCATTGTCCAGCTTTCTGATGCATAGCAAGTAACTACAAAGACCATAGCCTGGATTAGGTGCACTTTAGTCCCCAGACTGAAATTGTTGTTCTTCAGTACTTTGGAGAGGTCCCTGACAGCAGACTTTCCCAGTGCAATTTGTCTTTTGATTTCTTGGTTGCTGGTACCAAGAGTGTTGATTGTGGAGCCAAGCAAACTAAAACTGCTAACAATCTCAGTCTCTTCTTCTATCATGATGCTGCCAATCGGCCCAGTGGTGAAAAATCATTTTCTTGATGTTGAGCTTCAATCTATATTTAAGGCTGCAGTCCTTTTAGTTACTAATTTTTTTTCACACTATTTCTTCCTCAACTATTTAATTTACAGTAATGATTTGTCTTAGAATAGCAAATACGTACTTCTGTATAGTTAGTAAATGTTTTGATGCTTGGAAGGTTTAAAATACACTGTAGCATACTTTTAAGGGCAAGATAAAGTACTTGAGGAAAAATGTAATTTTAAGACATCTTTACCATACACTGGCGTCTTCCCTGGCAGGATGACAATAATGAGCTGCAGCCCTGAGTAGGTGTTCTTGAGATGCCGGAACATGGGCTCCACACTATCTGCCCCCTGTGCGTATTTGCAGAAGCAAGGCTGGCCCTGGATAGGCATTCCTGCATCCTTGGAAATCTTCCGCAGCTGGTCTGTGAAACCTCTAGAAATAGAAAACACTAAAACTAAACCTTTGTTTAGTCATCAACATGTACTAAGAAGACAAAGTTTAAGAAAGGGATAGAAAATATAAAAAAGGTCACAAGTCTTTATCTAAAAATCATTCCTCTCATTATAGAATAGCATGAAGATTAAATGATAACATATATATAAAGCACTTAGAACATTGCTAAAGGGAGCTTGGGTGATGAAGTCTGTAGGGAATTCACTGCTAATCCAAAAGAGGTTTCTTTCTGGTATTTCAAGTCCACCAGCTGATCCACAGGAGAAATATAGGCAGTTTCCTCCCAAGCAATTTGCAACCTCAGATAACCTGCTGGTGGGTCAGCTGTAAGCCAGTTCTTAGTCAGTGGCAATGAGTTTGAGCATAATGCTGAGATATGATTAAGAACTTGATAAATTTTGGCCACTGTGTATTTTTGAACTTTATCCTAATGAGAGGCAGATTACATATTATTGTCATCTTAGGTAGAACATTAAAATTTAGAGGTGGATTATATATTATTTTCATCTGTAGAATATTAAAAATTTAGCTAAAGTAAAATGAGTTCAGAAACGGCAGAACCATAACTATATAACCAGCCTAGAATTTCCTTTTATAATATTACATATTCAAACTGGGTTAGCTAGAAAGATTATGACCTCAAAAGGATTAAAACAAAACAAAACAAAACAAAGCAGACAGGCAGCACTTTAATGTATTTTCATTTACACCGAAAAACATAAGAAACAAATAACCTTATATGTGAACAAAATTCTGCAGTAAGTCTAGCAAAAAGTGAAAAATAATATGAGGATTTTACATCAGTTTATTTACTTTCAAAACAAATAAAGTTCTAAGATAAGGATCAGGGTGATGTTTGCTCAAAAACACTGTGTTCATTTCAAGATAAAAAAAATTGTAGGAATTCCCTTTTTCTTTTACATATTAGTGTTAATCTCAGATATATTAAGTTAAATATTTTTAGTCATTCAGAAAAAGAGCCATAGTATCAATGATTATGAGAATTCCATTCAACTTATGAATAACAAAAGCAAAGTAAAAGAGCTATTCTAAGTTTAAAAAGTTACTTAATTTGGGAATTGTTCCTTGTCTTTTAGAAGGAACTCTGGTAGGGAAATGGGCTAACAACTCAAAGGCAAGTGGTCAGAATTCACTGGCGGCTCTGCGAGAGATGAGTAATCTCCTCTCACGAACTCAAAGGCAACAAGCTAGGTTTTGAGTTTTTAGAGGTCAAGTAAGATAATGAAAACATTGATAAAAACTGCCCTTATGCTTTGTGGAAGCAGTGGTGAAAAATTCCAATAGGTAAGGATTAATAAATACATTTAAAGATTTAAGTTAATAAGAATGAACAGTTAAACAGAATCTCTTTTTTTCCCCTTCATAAGAAGGAGGTAAGACAAATTCTAAACTGACCTAGGTTAAGTTGGTCTCTGTATCACTGATGGAGTATTCATAATGGTTTTACCTTTTATAAGCATTTAGTGGAGATTTAAATTAGACAAAACAATTTTTCTAAGAAAATTAGAACCTAGAGTGGAACACAGGATATTTACACAAATAGTTATATATGTGTATGTGTATAAATTAGCATGCTAATTGAGAGTTAAAATATTATTTCCTACATGGAGAATCAGAGAAAACTGTAGTATTTGGATTGGTAAAGAGAAGAGGAAGGCATTCTCAATAGAAGCAAAAATGGAAAAAGTGCCAGGGAGCTAGAATAGAATGCTTTAGATTCTTTGTTCTGAGTAATGAAAAGGGAGTAATAAGAAAAGACTTAAGAGGAAGGTAAAAGATTTCAAATATCAATGTGGTCTGAACCACTTGGCTATTTCTGAATCAATAGAGACCTTAACAGTTTTACAGTGGGGTAGTCTGCAAGTAGATCTCATCCTATCCTCAAACAAAGGGTGCCAACAGAATTTCTTGAGATGTGTCAGGTCCAAAGGAGATACGATTCACAGGGAAGAAAAGATTTTAGACAATTTAGGGGGTAGAAAGGAAAGAGAGTAATGTCAACAAAGTAATTGTCTCTAATGTAGCCTATCATGAAAGAAAATAAGGGCTGAGAAGAAACCATTAGACTTGGTATGTGCAAAGATACTAGAGATTGTCAAGGATTTCGTTTCATTAGAGCATTTTTGATATTTATAGGACAAAGGACAGAAGTTTGAGAGAGTAAGTTAAGTATACTGAAAACTGAAGATGGAAAAAAAAGAAAAACCACCCCACACCAAACAGAATGATCAGGGAGCACATATACTGACAGAAAACACCTGGGGAAATGGATGTGGGAAATAGAACACATTAAATTTTGGAAAGAAGGAAGTGGAAATGAGTTGTTTAACCTCTTTGAAAAAACTCAACTGAATAATGGAGACAGGACAACAGTTGAAAAAGAACTTAGAATAAAAAGAAATAATGTATTTCCTTTATTTTTAATGGGAAAATCAAGAATGTTTATGACTATGATCAAAGAGTTAGTTGAGAAAAATATGTTGAGGAAATGAGAGAAAATTTGTGTTTAAACATGTTGCTGCACACTTTTAAATTGACGACCGTGCTTAGAAACACATTTTGCCATCATTTGCGGCAACGTGTTAAAGGTTCTGGGAGAGACTGGATGTGATGTAATAAAGAGCATAGATAAAAGAATTGGCCTTGAAGGGGTGGAAGAAAGTGGACATCATGGTAGAATTAGCTTTGGAGTTGAGGAACAACATCTTTTGCTCTGACATGGATGGAAATGAAGGAACACAGTTAAATTAATTCCTAATGAAACACTAAGAATGCACAGCTTCAACTTCAAAGTCCAAGTTATAATTCAAGTTTTGTTTTTCTATTGAGCAGAATAAAAGCTAAAAATAATTTATGACCAAGTAATAGGAGTACAAGTTCTTCTTTGTTGTTGTTATGTGCCACTGAGTTGCTTGTGACTCACAGTTACTCTATGCACAATAGTTCTGAGCTCTGTCCTATCCTAAGCAAAACTAAAGAGCATTGATACATAGCAAGTACTGCAGAGACCATGGCCTAGATCAAGTGTACCTTAGTTTCTAGACTGACATTGTTGCTCTTCAGCACACTAGAGAGATCCCTTATGGTAGATTTACCTAATGCAATTTGCCTTTTGGCTTCCTGACTGCTGGTGCCAAGAGTGTTGACTGAGGTGTTAAGGAAAGCGGTAATTGTTAACAACCTTAATCTCCATCCATCATGGTGCTGCCAATTGGCTCAATGGTGAGAATCTTTGCTTTCTTGATACTGAGCTTCAATCCATATTGAAGACTACAGTCCTTGACTTTCTGCAACAAGTACTTCAGGTTCTCCTCTGTTTTGGCAAGCAAGGTTGTGTCATCTGCATAACATAGGTTGTTGATGAGTCCTTCTCCAATCCTGATACCACATTCCTCCTCACAGAGCCCAGCCTCCCAAATGATCTCTTCTGCATATAGATTAAAAAGGTATTGAGAGAGGATGCACTCCTTTCTTGCATTTGAATCAAATAGTGTTTCCTTGTTCTGACAACTACTTCCTGGTCCAAGTATAGGTTTTGCATGAGCACAATTAAGTGTTCTAGATTCCCATTCTTTTCAAGGTTAGCCACAATTTGTTGTGATCCACACAGATTTGCTGCCATCCACAGATTTCTTTTTTAGAAAAAAAAATTTATTTGTAACTTACAAGTTTTATTTCTCACAAACCTTTTGATCACAAGAATAAGCTAGAGTGGTCATAATGAAGATGCCTAATGGAGAAAGGTAGTAGCACTATTGTAAATTTAGAAACCTTCCTTGTTGCATGATCATTAAATTTAAGAAAAAGTCAAGATCTGTGGCACTTACTTCTAAGAAGGAATGCAGAGATGTATTAAAAGAAGCTGCAACCGTCAGCTGATTGCTCATTTTATATCAAACATCTTAGATTTATAATTTTATTTAATCTTAACCTTTTATGTAGGTACTACAGGCAGTCCTAAGGAGCAATGGTGGCCCTGTCCACAGGGAGTTGCACTGTTAACCAAAAAGCTGAGCTTCTCTGATGGTTCAAATCCATCAGAGGCTCTTAGGGGAAAGACAGGCAATTTTCTCCTAGGTGACTTATAACCTTGGAAACCTACTGAAGTGTCATCAATGAGTCAGTTATGAGTTGATGCTAACGAATGAATGAATGAATGACAATCCTCAATTAAGTAAATTCTGATGTAAGTTGGATTTTTTCAAAGTTTTCATTATTATTATAACTTCTTATAAGAATATTTAAGAATTTGATCTTAACTTTTCTTGAGGGGTGGGAATTAATACATACAAACATCTGAGAGTGAATAAGAGAATGATAACAGCACATTTTTTAATAATTATACATATTTTCACATATCAGTTTCTCCTAAGGTAAGGTTAAAGGGCAGAGATTTTGGAGCTTTTAGATTTCTGTCAAGACTGAAGGACTGTTCTGACAGCTGAACCTTCTTCAAATTCACCTTAAAGACTCCTAGTTCCAAATGGCCTTGACAATATTCTATCTTGGGGGACTGTAATAAATAAGATCTGTAGCATTCCCTAAACACCTGGAATTGTTTCTCAACCATCTACATACAACATATACAGAATCAAATATCCTCCAGTCAAGAATAGATTTTTTTCCTTTTAAAAAGGGAATAATGTTCAGAAGCTAATGGTCCCATCTTTTCCTGAAGATTGTTTGCTCATTTGTCTAGTCCTTGTCAAGAGCCTTGGGAAGTCAGGAAGAAAGGTGGGGAAGAGACAAGCAAGGATACAATGAGAAACTTCTATAGGGGGATTAAAGTATTAGCATCTCGAAGGACAATTATTAGTTTGGGAAATCTGGAATATTTTGCTAAGTCAATGAATAAGTAAAAAGTAGTTAGCAAAATAATGAGAAGCTGAGGGATACACTTTATCAATTTCAAGCTTCTTTAGTACTTTGGTGTCAGAAACCCAACAAATTGGCTTTTATAGTCATTATGTTAGCCCCTACAGGGGGCATGATCTCTACCTACCTTAACTGTGGACATAGTCTTGCAAATCAACAGCTGTCAGGTCAATATATAAGGTGCTTTCCACATTGTGAAAAGCACAGATGATGGTGGTCGACAGAGGGTGAGGAGATTGTGGCACTACTGTGAAGAGGCTGTGGCACTATTGTGAAGAGACTATGGCAAGGTGTAACCAGAGAAACCCTGAGATAAAGGCCATAGTTAAAGGTTTTACTTCCTGCATGATTGAAGAAAAAGTTGAGTTATAACTGCCATGACGCAAACCTTGCTGGATGACTGAGGAAACAAGAACCAACTTGCAGTTGTGCTGCTGAAATAAACCTGGACTATCACTAATTGTGGAACTGTACCTTGTTAATCTTCCTTGAGACTACTGAATTAAATCTGGACTTGCACTGGGTGGTATTCTTTGCCTCTTCCACTCTCCAACTTATTTCCTTGATAAACCTCACAACTATGAGTAAAATCTGTGGGTCAACAACAAAAACCAGACGCTGAACGATTGTTGGAAAAAGATTCAGGAGCATGGGAGGTTAGCATGTCTGACCGAGCAGGTATGTGTTTGCTGCTATGGATATTATTTATAAGGACAGTTCCCCTTTGTAAAGCGGCTGCCCCCATACACCTAGTTTCTTCAACAACCCTAGGAAAGGTGAGCAGCATCAATTCTACAAAGAATTTGTTCCCCCTGTAATTTTATAAGTTAGCAGAAAGTGGAAAAAACATGGAAATTATCATTCATCAGCGGGAAGCATTTAAAAATAAGCCATTGACCTTTTGGTCAGCACCCCAGAGCATTACACACTATATCACCAGAGTTCCATTGTAAAGCAAGGTCCACACTAATCTAATACGACTGGTATCTTCATAAAAAAAGAGACGCTACAAAGAAGGAAGACATGGAAAGGTGGAGGAAGAAATCAAAGTTATGCTTCCACAACTAAGGAATGTCTGAGTATAATGGAAAAGGTTTCTCTGGAACCTTTAAAGAAAATGCAACCCTGATAACACCTTGCATTTAGACTTCGGGTCTCCAGAACTGAGAGAGACTACTTTTCCATTGCTTTAAGCCACCTTTTTGTTGTTGTTATGTGCCATCAAGTTGCCTGTAACTCAGCGACCCTATGTACAATATCCCTGAACTCTATCTTGAGCCAGTCACACCGTCTCCAACACACATTATCCTAGTCACTGTGTCAATCCATCTCATCCAGGGTCTTCCTCTCCTGTACTGTTCCTCCACCCTTCCAAGCATGATGTCCTTCTCCAGGACCTGGTCCCTCCTGGCCATAAAATATGTGAGACAGAGCTTCAAAACCCTTGCCTCTGAGGAACAGCCTGGTTCCACCCTCTCCAGGTTCAATCTGTTTGTTCTTTTGGCAGTCCATGGTACGTTCAATACTCTTCTCCAGCTCAAAGGCATCAATTCTTCTTCTGTTATCTTTGGTCATTGTCCAGCTCTCTGACTAATACCACGTAACTGTGAAGACCATGGCCTGAATCAGGCATACTGTGGTAATTTGTTAAAGACAGTCTTAGTAAACTTGTTATTTGTGTTTTGTGAAAAGGTATTTGCAATGCCTCAATCACTGATTGTACAAAATTTAATCATTCAATCTCCTCCCATTAAAAAGCAAAAGATCATTAAAAATACAAGGAAGGAAAAAATATGAAAATGAATGTAAGAAGAAACTCTGAAAATTACACTAGACCACTGAGAGGGCAAAGATAGAAAGAGAGTAATATTTATTCTAATTCCCAAGAAAGGTGATCTAATAATATGTAGAAATTATTGAATAATAACAAGCAAAAAAAAAAAAACCTTGCTGAAGATTATCTAAAATCAGAATAGTAGTACAGTAACAGAAAGATGCCAGAGACTTAAGCTAGATTTAGAAGTGGCTGTGGTAGAAAGTGACATCATAGCTGATGGCAGATGGATCTTGCCCGACAGCATAGAATACCAGAAGGATGCTTATTTGTGTTTTATTGCCTATGCAAAGGCATTTGTGTGGATCATAACAAATTATGGCTAACATAGGGAAGAACAGGAATCCCAGAACAATTAAAATGGCTCATGAAAAAGCTATACCTACACTAGGAAGCTGTTGTCTAAAAAGGTCAAGGGAATGCTGCAAGGTTTAAAACCAAGCAAGACAAACATCAGTGCAATATTCTTTCTCCATACTTATTCACTCCGTGTGGTGAGCAAATAATTTGAGAAGCCGGACTTTATGAAGAAGAATGTGGCATCAAGACTCATCAGCAACCAATGTTATGCAGATGACACAATCTTGTTTGCTGAAAGCAAGGAGGACTTGAAATGCTTGCTGTAGAAGATCAAAACTACTCAGCCTTAATATAGATCACACTTCAACATCAAGAAAATAGAAGATCTCACCTCTGAGCCAATCGGCAGTATAATGATGTTGTTGATTTCCATCGAGTGGAGCACGACTCATAGCAATTCTATGAATAAAAGGCCTGAAGCCTTTCTATAACTATCGACACTTATAAAAGTTCAGGTAGGTTCCAGAGTTGTCAACAATTTCATCTTGCTTGGATTCACAAGACCCTTAGTATCAACAATCATGAAATCAAAAGACATAGTGCATTGGGAAAATTTGCTTTTAAACACCTCTTCATGGTGCTAAAGAAATGCTGTCAGTTTAAAGACTAAGGTATGTCTGATACAAGCCATGGTCTTTTCAATTATTTCTATGGACCAGAAAGTTGAACAACAAATAAGTATGATAGAAGAATAATCAATGTCGTGGAGTTGTGGTGTTGGAGGAGTACTAAATATCCTATGGAATGCAAGAAACAACAAATATCTTGGAGAAAGTGCAACTAGGGTGCTTGCTGGAGGCAACGATGTGGAAATTTTATCTTACATACTCTGGGGATACTGTTAGGAGGGGCCAGTCCTTGGAGTAGACATTATGCTTGGAAAGGTAGAGGGTCAGTGAGAGAGGAAGACCTTCAAGATGGATTGACAGAGTGACTGTAACTATGAGCATGAGGATATCAGAGATGATGAGGATGGCACAAGAAAGGGAAAGATTCAGATTTGTTGTTCAGAGTCACTATGACTTGCAGTAGACTTTATGGCATGTGACAACAGCAGCCCACTAAGGCAGTGTATTAGGATGCTTAGAAGAACAAATCAATTGGTCTAGGGAGCTTTGGTTACCTGGTGGCCAAAGAGCTATGCTGCCAACCCAAAGGCAAGTGGTCCAACTCTACTAGCTGCTCTAGAGGAGAAAACTGGGCAATCTCTGCCTGTGCAATTCACTGTCTTTGAAAACCGACTGGAGGATCTTCTATGGATCAGTTCTGACTTGATGGCACATAATAAATAATAATTCAGTAATATTCATCAAACTACAGAAAAATTATTATTTTTATATTATATTTAAAGATTCAGTAATTACTCTCCATATTGAAACAACACTGCTTAGAATACAAGCTAAGTAATTTAAAATTGAAATACAACTCTCAAAGCCAAAGTAATGAGATGGCTTACTTTAGTATTTCTTCTCTGCACTGCCTCTGCGTGGCAAAGCAAGCTATAGCCCACATTTTTATTTCAACTCCTGTGTGGAACTGTTTCCCTCGCATGTCCCATACTCCATGGCTTGGTGTTGCTACTGTCCGATTCTATAAAAAGGAATAAGAAAAACAGTAAGGTAAAAGTAATAAAAACTTAACAAAAAATTTATTTCAGTGAATTGGAAATATGCATATTAAATTGCTGAACTGCAGTATTTCTGATATTCTACACTGAAATGACTTCGAAGTCAATATTATTTAACTTTTATCACCCTAACCCCATCAGAAATTCTAAAAGTAAAGACATTCATTTCAAAACAAACAAACAAAAAATATTGCTGGAACAATAAAGACTTCTTAAAATCCAAACTCAGTGAGGGTTATCTCTCTTCTTACTTAAAATTTCATGTGTAATATTTAAAAACTAGCAAGAATTTTTACCCGTCCTCCATATTGTAGCATCGGTGCCGGAAGAACGCGACCAGTTACATGGGCCATTTCATCTCGAACTTTAAATTGAAACTCCTGAACAAATGGATCTGTTTCATAATTTGCACTTCTTACCTAATCACAGATAAAGTTTTTAGTTATTCACAAAATTCTGGAAAATTTTGTTTTACACACACATGAGAAATGTCTATTTATTTTTCCTTCACTGTGTTAACAATATGCTTTATAACAGGTCTTGATAATGGTCCTCTAATTAAAGAAAAGAGAATCATAATATGAGAACCACAAGTCCACTAATTCCTTGATAATACATACATACACGGCTTAAATGTGTGTATTAGGATAAACTAGTATAAATACTGTTTTTCATCTATAAAAGAGTAATTTTATATGACTCAACCTATGTTTTAGGAGAATCTGGTGATAAAAATAGATTCTCCAAGAAATGTTTGACCAAAAAAGTTAAGAATCTAAACTTGAAGAAGATTCAGATATACACTATTAAAAGATTACACAGAATTTGATAGGAAATATTGGCATGCACTCACTGATAATCCTGAAAAATTCCCTCTATTTGATATACAGTTTATATCAGAATTATCAGAAAAGAAGTATCACAACTATGAGATATCATCTCACTGCAGTAACAATAGCAAAATTCAACAGAGTAGCAAGCAACAGAGATATTGGCAAGGTTGTGGAAAAACTGGAACCCTTTTTCACTGTTGTGGGGAGTGTAAAATGGTGCAACCACTATGGAAAATAGTATGGCACTTTCTCAAAAAGTTGAAATAGAAATACCATATGATCCAGCAATTCTGCTACTGGGAATATACTCTAAAGAAACCAGAACTGCCACCCAAGTAGATACATACACATCCATGTTTATTGCTGCTTTGTTCACAATAGCAAAGAGTTGAAAACAATCCAAGTGCTCATCAACAAATGAATAACTAGAGAAGTGGTGGTATATTTATACAATGGTATACTGTGCAGCACTGAAAAACAAGGAACTCATGAAATATCACACAAAATGGGTGACCGTGGAGGACATTATGCTAAGTGAAATATCTCAGTCACAAAAGGGCAAATACTACATAATGCCACTGCTATAAAACAGGAATGACATCAGGGTTGGGGAGAGTCTAAGAAAAGAGGGGATAAATAATGTATACTGCTTTAAAACAGATGAGGAAGTGAACTCTTTAAAAGGAATAGATCATTAGGTATTATTTGTATGACAAAAGTCCAGAATAAGAGCTGCATAGTAAAGTGAACTGAGGAGGGATTGTGTAACAATGAAAGAATTTTTTTTTTCCAAAGAGAAAAGAGAACTGGGGGGAGAGGTAGGCAGGGAAGAAAATGTGAAACAGTGAATGAATGGAAATCCAAGTTCTCTATAAACTTCCATTAAAAAAAAAGAAGACAAAAATATTCGGAAACAAGTTTGGCAAACATGAAGCATGCATAGTAGCCATCTCTTTAAAAGCTACTGAGTAAATCAGCATGTATATAGCTCTGAGAATTACTGTTATAAATAGACTGTTTAAATGTATTTAGCCAACTATTTCCCATACTTGCAGTATTAAATCATCATAATTTTTTTCTTAAAAAAAAAGTACCAAATTGTAAAAGAACGTGATACACTTTTGATAAGGTTAGTATAAGTTATAATTTTATACAACATATTCACACATAAACTCAAAGACAAGTAATTTATTATTATTCAGTGTAGATCTGGATCTCAGAATGGAATTCATGCATACTGTAGTAATGGTACGTTTCCAGAGATGTTTACTTATTTTCAGGGTGAAGATCACAATAGGTTATTAGAAAAAAGATAGTAGTGTTCAAGTCTTTTGAGTAACAATTTATTTTAAAAAATTTATATACTCAAATATATAAGAAGAAATCTTCTCACAATAAGTAGGAATTTTCTAAATTGTGAATCCATTTTTTCCCTTCAAGTTTAAGTGCCATTCATTTCCTGTACGTTAGTGTACCTCCATAGTAAGGTTACAACTTTTAACAGCTATTTACTAAGATTGACAGCAGTCTTAAGTAGTATTTGTGTTTTTGTGATGAGATATTTCACTCAGCATAATGTCTTCCAGACTCATGTTGTGCAGTGTTTTACTATTTACTAATTTATTATTTTTCAATGCAGCATAATATTCCATTGTGTGAATGTACTAGGTTTTCTATCTATTTATATCCATTTGTTGATGGGCACTTGGACTGCTTACATTTCTTTGTATACATCAGTTTGTGTCATAGTTCTGGTTTCTTTACGTTATATTCCTAATAATAGGACAGCTGGGTCAAATGGTATGTTTATTTCCAACTTTTTGAAGAAGTTCCAGACTGCCTCTATAGTGGTTGTATTATTTTACATCCCCACCACCTGTGCATGAGAATTCCTATCTCTCCATGCCTTTGCTAATTTTGTTTGCAGTCCTGGTGAACTTTTCTAGTGTTGCTGGGGTGAGATAATATCTCACTGTTGTTTTGACTTGCATCAATGAATTGATAGAGTGACTGCAGCAATGGGTTCAAGAGTGTCAGAGATGGTGAGGATGGCACAGGAAAGGGCAGGGTTCAGGTCTGTTGTTCACAGGGTCGTTACAAGTCATATTCGACTAGATGGCCCCTAAAACCAACAATAACTAGAAATTTTGAACATTTCTTCATTTGTTTGTTGGCCCATCTGACTTTCCTCTTTCATATCTTGTGCCCACTTTGTGGCTAGGTTGTTTGTACGTGTTTTATAACCTGCATAAGATTGCTATAATAAATACAGAATTGATATGGGTGGGAGAACAGGAAAAAACAGTGGCTAGAAGACGAACCCATTACTGGAATAGGTGAAGGAAAGGACTATCTGAAAGGAATGTATGATTAGGAATTATATGTATGACAACAGTTTAGAAGAAGATATGCATTACAATGTGAACTGGGAGGAGGAGAGGAGAGAAAAATGTGCATCAATGAATGAATGAAAATTCAATTATTTCTGTAAACTCCACTAAAGTTACAATGAAAACTAGCAACAACAATAACAAAAGAACAGATATGAACCTTGCCAAATCCTATGTCACCCTTATGATCTCTGCTTAAGATTGACAATCACTATGTCAGTCCGTCTTTTTGAGAGTGGTCTTCTCTTTTTCTGACCCTTTACCTTTCCCAGATGATGCCTTTTTCCAAGGACAGTTCCCTCTTCACAACATGCCCAAAGTATATAAGAAGTATTTTACCATCCTTTCCTCTAAGGCCATAGTCTTTGCAATTACTTACTATACATCAGAAATCTGGACAATGACTAAGAATGACAGAGGAAGACTCAATGCTGTGAGTCGTGGTTGTGGAGAAGATAACTGAACATACCATGGACTGCTAAGAGAACAAGTCTTTTCTGGAGAGAGTGAAACCAAGGTGCTCCTTGCAGGCAAGGGTTTTGAAGCTCCGTCTCACACCCTTTGGGCATGTGGCCAGTAGGGACTAGTCCTTGGAGAAGGACATCATGCTTGGAAGGGTGGAGGGACAGTGCAGGAAAGGAAGATCCTGAACGAGATGGACTGACAGGGTAATGAGGACAGAGATTGGTTAAGGATAGAGTTTAGTGCAACTGTGGACAGGGTTACTATGGTCACAGTCAACTGAATGGAACATAATAACAACAACTTTTCCAAGCACTGATGTCTTTTTCTAAGGACTGGTCCTTCTGTACAACAAGTCCAAGTATGTGCCTCTAAGGAGCCCTCTAATTGCCAAAAGGTTAAGCTGTATTCAGAAAAGACTATGGAAGGAGGAATATTATCTAATGTTATCAGATGGATCTTGGCTAAAAGCAGAGAATACCAATAAAATGTTTACCTGTTCTAACTGTGCAAAGGCATGTTACGAGTGGATCATAATAAATTGTAGATAACATTGAGAAGAATGAGAATTCTAGAACAGTACTCAGGTAGAACCTGTTTATAGACTAAGAAACAGTCATTCAAATAGAACAAGAGGATAGTGAATATTCTAAAATCAGGAAAAGTGTGTGAAGGTTTTAACCTTTCACCATACCTATTCAATATGAAGCTTAACAAATTATCTGAACAGCCAGATTACACGCCCAATATGCAGATGACACAAACTTGCTTGCTAAAAGGTAGAGAAGTTGAACCAGTTAGTGAAGAAGATCAAATACGTCAGTATGGATTATACCTCAATATAAAGAAAACAAAAATCTTCACAACCGGCCCAGTAAGAAATATCATAATAAATGGAGAAAAGGAAAGGATGAAGTTGTCAATTATTTCATTTTACTTGGATTCAAAATCAATAGCCATGGAACCAGCAGTCAAAAGATGATTGCTTTGGACAAATCTGTTCCCAAAGATCTCTGTGAAGTGCTGATAAACAAAATTTGACTTTAAGGTGTGCCTGACCCAACCTATGGTATTCTCAACTGCTCCATAAGCATATGGAAGTTGAATAATGAATAAGAAATATTAATAACTGATGTCTTTGAAATGTGATGTCGGCCAAGAATACTGAAAATATGATATGTAGACAAAAGAACAAACAGATCCAGCTTGGAAGAAATTAAGTCAAAGTTATTAGAAGCAAGGGTGGTGAAACTTCCTCTTGCATACTTTGTGCCTATTGGCAGGAGGGCTAGTCCCTGAAAAAATACATCATGTGTAGAAAAATAGAGGGTAAGCAAAAAAGGAAGACCCTCAAGGAAGTGGATTACATAGTGAGCAGAAAAATGGGCCTAAGCACAGAAGAAAATGTATTGATGACAAATAATTAGTCAAGGTTTTATTTTGGTGTAAATAGAGTTAATCTGAGTCACAGCTGATTCAATGGTCCCTAACAACAACAACAACAACAACAAATTCTTATTTCTGTTATCTTCTAGGCAACTTGACAGTTAAAGCTTTAACATATGAGTCTCTGATCCAATTTGAGATAGTTTTTAATGCATGGTGTAAGTTACAGGTCCTGTCCAATTTTTTCACAATTAGATAACCATTTCTGCCAGCATAATTTAGTAAAGAGACAATTTCTTCCCTATTAAATGGACTTTGATCACTTGTTGAAGGTCAGCTGCCTATAGAATGATGGATTTAACTCCTGGGTTCTCAATTTAATTCCACTGGTATATTCTATGTGTATGTCACTGAAGCTTTACCAGGCTGTTTTGATTACCAAGGTTGGACAGTAAGTTTTAAAGTCAAGAAATATAAGGCCTTATAACTTTACTGTTCTTTAAGTCTACTGACTTAGCTATTTAGATCCTCTTTCTTTTCTATACCAAGTCAGAGATTATTTTTTCTATTTCATTAAAGAAACATGAGCCTGCGACTCATAGTGACCTTATGCACAGTAACTCTGAAGCCAGCCCTCTGCTGAGCCAGTCTCACTGATTCTGAAAAACCTACCTCCATTGTCCTAGTTACCATATCAATACATCTCATCCAGGGTCTTCCTCTCCTGCACTGTCCATCCACCCTTCCAAGTATGATGTCCTCCTCCAAGGATTGGTCCCTCCTGGCCATGTGCCCAAAGTATGTGAGATGGAGATTCAAAATCATAGCCTCCAAGGAGAAACTTGGTTTCACCCTCTCTAAGACAGACCTATTTGTTTTCTTGGAGGTCCATGAGATTTCAAGACTCTTCTCCAGCACCACAGCTCAAAGGTGTCAATTCTTCCTCTATCCCTTTGTCATTAATCAGCTCTGTGATGCATAGCAGTAATTGCAAAGACCATGGACTGGATCAGGTGCACTTTAGTCTCCACACTGGCATTGTTGCTTCTCAGTACTCTGGAACTCCCTACTCAGTCCTCCCTAACAGCAGATTTACCAAATGCCATTTGCCTTTTGATTTCCAGACTGCTGGTGCCAAAAGTTGTATTATCTATAGACTGCTTTTGTTGTTATATGTTGTCGAGTCAAAACAGATTGCTTTTAGTAGCATGGGTATTTCTACAGTGTTATGTCTTTCAATTCATGAGCATGAAATACCTTTCCATCTATGTAGATCCCCCAGTATCTTGTAGCAGAATTTTAGAGATTCTCTTCTAAAAATCTTTTATGTGTCTGATTAGGTCTACTCCTAAGGAGAAGTTTTAGTCTCTTAAAAGTTTTGGGCAAGGTTTAAAAATATTATCATAGTTGTTGTTATTGTTATGTGCCGTCGAGTCGCTTGCGACTCATAGCGACCCTATGTACAACAGCCCTAAACTCTGCTCTGCCCTGTGCCAATCGCATTGTCTCTGACACACCCATCCCAATTATCCCAGTCACTGAATCAACCCACCTCATAGAGGGTCTTCCCCTCCTGCGCCGTCCCTTCACCCTCCCAAGCCTGATGTACTTCTCCAAGGACTGGGCTCTCCTCACAACATGTCCAAAGTTAAGTTAGACGGAGCCTCAGAATCCTCGCCTCCAAGGAGCCACCCGGTTTAACCCTTTCCAGGATGAATCTGTTTATTTTCCTAGCAGTCCATGGTATTCTCAATACTCTTCTCCAGCACCACAGCTCAAAGGCATCAATTCTCCTTCTATCTTCCTTGGTATTGTCCAACTCTCTGATGCATAACAAGTGATTGTGAAGACCATGGCCTGTAACAAACGCACCTTAGTCTCCAGAGAGACACCATTGCTCTTCAGTACTTTGGAGAGGTCCCTAACAGCAGACTTTCCCATGGCAATGCGCCTTTTAATTTCCTGGCTACTGGTGCCAAGAGTGTTGACTGTGGAGCCAAGCAAACTAATGCTGTGAACAATCTCAATCTCTTCACCATCCATCCTGATGCTGCCAATTGGTCCAGTGGTGAGAATCTTTGTCTTCTTGACATTGAGCCTCAATCCATATTGCAGGCTGCAGTCCTTGACCCTCTGCAGCAAGTGCTTCAGGTCCTCTTCAGTTTCAGCAAGCAGGGTTGTGTCATCTGCATAACGCAGACTGTTGATAAATCGTCCACCAATCTTGACCCCACATTTCTCCTCATAGAGCCCAGCCTCCCAGATAACCTGTTCTGTATATAGGTTGAAAAGGTATGGAGATAGGATGCATCCCTGGCGTACGCCCTTCCCAATTTCGAACCATGCAGTATTCCCTTGCTCTGTTCTGACGTCTGCCTCCTGGTCCAAGTATAGATTTCGCATTAGCACGATCAAGTGTTCTGGGATTCCCATTCTTCTCAGAGTCAGCCACAGCAGATTCAGAAAAAATACTGGATGAGAAAGAAATTTTCTTTTCTCAGTGAAAAACCATCAGGAATTGTCAGGTTCTTCTTCCTATAACCAGCTCACAAAATTAAAAAAGCCAGCTTTGTAACCCAGTTCCAGAAATCTTGAAAATTGTTCAGGCATGTATCTAGACCTCTTTTCACCTTGGCTTCTTACAGGATATTCAAGGAAATTGTGCAATAGGAGGAAGGTACCCCTTTTATTCTTTATTTTGCTTTATTAATAAAGTGCTACTGGTAACTTTTCCTGCCCTTACTATTTAGAATAACAGTGTGAAAGAGACAATAAATATTATGTACTCTTACATGGTTGTATTTGATTTATTTATCCATCCTGTGTAGCTGCTAGCCTAATCTCAAGGATTAAGTAATCCCAGACTAAGCGTTAAAATCTCTCACTACTGACAGTACCCCCTAACTTTTCTCCTCTCTCTCTCTCTTTTTTTTTAGGTGGTGGTTGTTGTTATGTGCCATCGAGTCGCCTGCGACTCATGGCGACCCTATGTACAACAGCCCTAAATGCCGTTCTATCCTATGCCAGCCTCACCATCTCAAACACACTCATTCCTACCACTCCACTCACAGAATCGATGCATCTCGAGGGTGTTCCTCTCCTGTGTTGTCCCTCCACTCTCCCAAACATGATGTCCCTCTCCAAGGACTAGTCCCTCCTTGCAACATGCCCAAAATATGTCAGACAAATCTTCAGAATCCTTCACTCCAAGGAGCATTCTGGCTTCACCCTCTCCAGGACAATCCTGTTTGCTCTCCTAGCAGTCCATGGCAATTCAACACTCTTCTCCAGCACTACAGCTCAAAGGCATCAATTCTCTTTCTATCATCCCTATTCACTGTCCAACTCTCCGATGCATAGCACATAACTGCAAAGACTATAGCCTGGATCAGGCACACCTTAGTCTCTAGCCTGATGTCATTGCTCTTCAGTACTCTTGAGAGGTCCCTGACAGCTGACTTTCCCAATGCAATTCGTCTCCTGATTTCCTGGCTGCTGTTACCAAGAGTATTGACCGTGGAACCAAACTAAAACTGTTAACTATCTCAATCTCTTCACCATCCATACTAATGCTGCCAATTTTAGGTAGAAGATAATAAAGTTGCAATTTACTAAAAGTATTTGTTTCTGAAATATGTGTTTCTGGATCTAATTAAAAAACCTGGGGATAAATTAGACAAATCTAACCCTTCTCACAGGGAGCTCTGGTAGCATAGTGGTAAGAAGTTGCACTGCAATCCCAAAGGCATGTAGTTTGAATCCACCAGCTGCTCTGTGGGAAAAGAATGGGCTATCTCTTCCCATGTGATTTATTTCCTCTGTAAATCAGCTGGAGGTCAGGTTCTTACTTGACAGTACCAAACAACAACCACCACAACCACTCTTCTCAGAGAATCTACTAAAGTCTTATCCCAGATTACAGTCAGATTATTTCTATCATCCCTTTTAATTCTGACAGTTCATGAAATTATTATCATATACTCTATCCAGAGTTTAATAAGGACATGTTTCCTTTACATCTTATTATATTATGTTCAAAATTCCTACTTTTATGATTAAGTACTAACCAGTCGGCTAATTTCCTCTTGTCTATCTGGTGCAGATCTTGCTGTTGCCTTGATCATAGTGGAAGTCTGATTGTCTGTAAGCTTCTTGATACACCGTTGCCCTGCTACAATATTACAGACCTGTAAATGAAAAGAGGTTTTATACTAGATGTACCTTTTTTTTAAGCTCTCAATATCAATGACATGTGAAATAAAAATCTTAAATCTAATTCATTAAACTTCTTCAGTATCATGTTAAGAAAAAAAGAAGTATGAAAAATTGCTTCATAGTAGCATTATAATTAGGGTAAATGTACACTAGACATTAAGACTGACAAGCAGTGCAGCAGTGCACTAACATTTCAACAGAGGCTACATTACAGTGGAAGGATGACAAATCAATTTTCCCCATATTATTTAATCACCAAAAGTTTAGAATAAATTAAATGCTACTAACAGTTTAGTATCTTGTATGGTTTATAATCTATTTACACACTCTCACATTTATTTGGAGAATGTGAGAGTATAAGGTATGTTACAGGCCATAAGATACCCCAACAGAATGTTGAATAAGAGGATATTAAGCAGTTTAAAAAGCATTACTTCTAGTGGAAGGTAGGTATGTTTCTGCTCCTGCCCCACTTGCAGACAGGGAAGATGGGGATACTTCAGCTGAAGAGTATACTTTTCTCTAAAATACTGTGCTACTGTTCTCTCCACAGTTTGGCCATTTTCAAGCTGTAAAGGAAAACTGAAGGGGGAAAAAACACATATCATTACCAACTCTTATCCTCTACAAGCCAGAAAAACTCCCAATTCACCAACTAGAGCAAGCTGCCACCACATCATCTCTGCTCTGACAAACACCAGTTTTTCTTACGTTTGATGACTGGCAGGCCTTCTTGTTACATTACAAACACGGTATTTCCGTCTCATTGTTCCACAATGAGTCACTTCAACCTTCAGACCTGTTCCCAACAAGAAAAATGAAGGTTACTGAACCGTCACATGTGAAAGTATTTATACTTACAAAGCCTGTTCATTACTATAAAAATTCAAATTCTGAACAGAAAATCTAGAAAACAAGCAATGGCATATTAACAAAGGATTTAATATAACATTGCTATAATAATTATAATTATGCTAGACCTAACTTTACATCTTTTCTTTATTCCATCAAACTCTTATGTTAAAATATTTACAATAAAATTTGCAAAGTCTGTAGATTTTTTTAAAGTACTTAATTAATAACAATAATTTCAAAAAGCCTTACTTATAATAAATTTATTTATGCTAGGAGAGGAATTGAGAAATTAAAGAAGAGTTGTAATGATTCCCAAGATATTCTACACCCTTCTAAGTATGTGATATTTTTAAATGCTCAGTAATCATATGCTAGTTGGATATAAAAATTTTATAAGGCTGAAGTAGAAAGTCCTTTAAAGGATCATAAAACAAGGAGAAAAAAATTCTAGGCTCTTGTAATAGGACTGGAGTGACAATTTTATTGAAGTATAAAATAGTGACTCTTTATATAGCTTTTTCCCTATTAACTGACCCCCACTGAGAATCTTATTAAAGCAATAAGCTCTCAGAAAGATACATACAGATATAATTTGGTCTACAATTTTAAGTGTTCTGTACCCCTGCAGACTCTCAGGATCCTAGGGGTTCAAGGTTCCCAAACCTGCTCTAGAAAAGTAAAACAATGATTCAAAATCATGGACTGAATTTTTAAGCAGTGTTACTCAGTAGAATTTTTTGAAATGACAGAATGTTCTATATGCTAATAGATTAATCACTAGCAACATATGGTTACCAAGCACATGGTTTTGGTTAGTGTGACTGAGAAAATAAATGAACACTTTTACATGTTTTTAATTTAAATTTACTTAGCCCTAGGTAACTAATACTGGACAGTGCAATCTAGGAGCTACCTAAGGAAGTATTAACAGATAAATTGGTTAGTAAAGCATATATTAGAAATCTCATTTCTAAAACTTGGCCAACACTCCAAATGAGAAAAACTTAAATAATAGGTAGAGGAAAACTTTCAATGTTCTGGCGGATTTTATGGTTATTACTCTGTCTTTTCCTTTTATAGTTGTGATTTTGCTATGACTTGGGGCAATTCCGCCCCCTAGGGGACACAGTTTGAAATGTCTGGAGACATTCTTGACTGTCATGACAAGGCACTACTCCTTATGGACTGTGTCACAGAGCTCCCTTATTGGGGACACAATCGAAATCTAACAGATGGAGGTCAGGGATATTGCTAAGTATCCAATAATGCACAAGACAGACCATTTGCCCTCAACAAAGAATTAATTAACGCTGCTCAAAATGTTAATAGTGTTGACTCTGAGAAATCCTATTATAACTTGTTTTTCTAATTACTAATTATAGTACTAAAGTTTACCAATACTAAGTGATAATCAGCATAAATTAAGATATTAAATAGGCATGAGAAAAAATACCTTTTAGATCTACATTAAACAGATTTTATAAAATTTCTCATGTTGGCTAAAAATGAAACTGACTTATTCAGTATAGAACAGATAACTTGAAATTTCTTCAGTTATTGTGATAAGAATACATGATGTACTTTAAAAAGCTCTCTTTTAAAAAAAGCTTTTAGGTCTTTGAGTGGGGGAAGATCATCAGTTTGTAAATGAAATCTAGCCCAGATTTTTCTACCCCAAATCTAGGACCACAGGCACCTAAGAATTAGACCAAAATCTAGGGTTTAGCAAAAAGCTGAAATTTTAAAAAAATAGCCAGATAATATTCTGCCCAGGTCCCTCCCCAAACCCTCCATCCAACCAGAAAAAAATGTTGGCTTTAAGAAATCAAATATTTAACCTATAAACTTGGCTTTACCTTCACTATAACATCAACTTTATAATGCTTTCTAGTCATTTTTTCATCATGTCTTTGGGCCCCTGAGCAGTTGAAGTTAAGATCGAGTCCATGCTCTTCGGGCAGCAGTTGAATCCTTGTTCTGTACATCTTGTATTTTCTGTGATAGAGTGGTGATATGAGTTGATTGCATAGTTACCGTCAAATAATGTAAGTGATTTCATGATATCAGAGGTGGTAACTAAGCAGCAACTCCACTGGAAACCATGGCATTTAGATGATCACATATTAATGGTATATAGGTAATGCGCTATCTATCTCAGGCAATGCTAACTGTGCAGTTAATACAGATTATGAAAGGACAATGGTATGGTGCAAAACAGTTATATATAACAGTTTCTTATTTTCGCACTTAAGCAACTTGAGAATAATGGATGTTTATTGTCAAGGAAGGAAGGGTTTTCATTTTAATGTTTTATTACAAAGATGCTCTCTTGGTTATAAAATGACAATGAATGATTATTAGAGCAAGCAAGATGTATTCAGCTACTCTAATTGATTTGGGGATCTGAAAGATGGTCAGTGAACAAACAAATGCTTCATTCAAACCACAAGCTGAAAATTATCTGCAACAAATAGGTAAAATCTTAAAATAATATAGTATAATTACTACTAGCTATTTAAGATTTAACAGTATACACAGAATTTATATTATTCTGATTAGACAAACTACTAATTTCCATGTTTAAATGATCAAAATGAAATACAGTGGAGTTACATCATATATGAAGGCTGGGTTCTAGAGTTATAACAAGGCCAAGAATTAGATCTAAAATTAGTCTTGAATTATTTCCTAAATTGCTGGTAAAGTACAGTATCAGTGCATTTGGATATCACTTCACATCTCTCACTGCCACTAAGTATGTTCTGACTTCTAGAGACCCTTCATCAGGAGACTGAACAACTTTCTCCCTCAAAGCTGGTGCTAGGTTTAAACCACCAGAGATGGGCAGCTTCCAGGTTAGCAGTGCAGTTCCCTATCAAGTATGCCATCAGAGTCCTCTGAGTTTGGATCTAGAGCTATATATTTAAACAGATAAGTGTACTTATAAAGAGTAAAGTATGCACAGAATAAAACCTACAGAACAGTGTTAAAATACTTTTCCTTTTTCAGAAATGATGTATATATAGATGAATCTATGTAAGTTAGGTGTATATATGATGGAACACCACTGTACAAACTTCAACACCAAGTAAGATAGGTAGGACTACTGGTCATCTCTATAGTATATGTTAAATTACAACTCAATAATAACAGATGAAATAGGCTAGCTCTATAAGCATAAATTTTAAAAAAGATAAAATACACCTATCACTTGAAGAAAACAAAGGAGGCACTAAGTTAGAATACATTCAAAGAAAGATTCTAGTTCTGAAATACCAATGGTTTTAGAGTAAGTTTACTAATTTTAACAGTGTTATAAGAGCATTTTCTGACGAGACACTTATCCTATCAGCTAATAAGGAAAAGAAAGCATTAACAAAAAATTCAGCTGGTCTCATATTAATTCCATTAGTTACCACTGTTTTTTCACTTAACCAACATAAAAATTTTACAGTTACAAATTTAATGTAATGTTTTAGAATTGATTTATATTTCATTGATATTAAATTTATTTTAATTGCAAAAGAAAAAATAGTTTGTTATAACAATGCATTTTACATTTATAGTATGAAATGCTAATTAATTCACCTTTTATCTCTTTGGTGAATTTTACCCGATGAGAATCAGTCAGAGGTCTTGGTTGCTCATCAATGTTATGAATGTCAAGAACTTCACACATGAACTGTATTACAGGTTGTGCTTTGTAGAAGGCAGTGGCAGAAACTAAGAAGAAAAACACAAATAGTATTAATGTTTTCCTAAAGAAATTCAGAAATTTCACCTTAGATTCTGTGATAATGAACCATTTATAGAATGAAAATGATCCTTTATGTATTTTATGGAGTGTTTATGTATTTATGTATAAATCTATGTATTACACATGTATATATAAATATATACATACACATCCACTTCTCACTTACTTATATGGTTAGGTTGTAAAGATGAGGTTGCTATGGAAAAATTGGTATTATGTGAAAATGGAGAACAATGATATGGTCACATAACTTCCAAAACTGCTAAGAATTATGGCCTACTCAAGTTGGCATATAAACCTTAACCATCACAGCCAGCACCACCATTGCACTGTACCTCAGTGTTTCTTATTTCTCAATGTATATTGATAATGGATAAAGTAGTTGGGTAACAGGGTTTTTTACTACTGTAATAGATATAAAATGTCAGATAATGAGATCTGTCTAAAAGAAAGAAGTAGGTGCACACATGTACACACACACACATCCATGCGTATGTACTTATAAAATGAAAAGTTTCAATTTGATCTTTATTTTATTTGAAGACAGCCACAAGAACAGAGAGGCTAGATACTATAGTTGTTATAATCAATCTCATAATGACCCAGAAATAATTCTATTCTCTACTATACGCTTACAGATGTGTTCTTGGCTATGAGACAAAGTTTGTAAGAGGACAAAGAAACTCAATGACCTATAGGAATGAGGTTGTGTGTGATCAGTAAACTGCATTTGAGAAGGCTCATCCTTCTCTCATGGAGCAGCTTGTGGATTCAAATCATGTGCCTTTGGGATTGCGGGACAGTTTCTTACCACTATGCCACTGTGGTTGTTGTTGTTATGTGCCATCGAGTCGTTTGCAATTCACAGCGACCTTATGTACAACAGCCCTAAACCCTGCTCTATCCTGTGCCAATCGCACTGCTTCTGACACACCCATCGCGATTACCCCAGTCACTGAATCAATCCAATACTCCAGTAGCCAGGAAATTAAAAGACTTATTGTGATAGGAAAGTCTGTGCTTAGACACCTCTCTAAAGTACTGAAGAGCAACAATGTCAGTCTGGAGACTAAGATGTGCCTGATACATGCCATGGTCTTTGCAATCACTTGCAATGCATCAGTGAGCTGGACAATGACTAGGGATGATAGAAGGAGAATTGATGCCTTTGAACTGTGGTGTTGGGGAAGAGTATTGAATAAACCATGGACTGCTAAGAGAACGAACATATTAGTCCTGGAGAGGGTGAAGCCAGGCTGCTCCTTGGAGGTAAAGATTCTGAAGCTTCATCTGGCATACTCTGGACATGTTGCAAGGCAGGACCAGTTGTTGGAGAGGGACGTCATGCTTGGGAGGATGGAGAGACAGCGCAGGAGAGGAAGACCCTGGATGAGATGGATTGATTTAGTGACTGGGGTAATAGAGGTAGTTGTGTCAGAGGCAATGAGATTGGCACCGGATAGGGCAGAGTTTAGGGCTGTTGTATATAGGGTTGCTATGAGTCGCAGGAGACTCGATGGCATATAACAACAACAAAACATACTAGAATTATTCTCCTGTTTAACCCATTCTCTTCTATTAATCTTCTAACCATTTTCATGCTTACCATCTTCTCCATAGAAAAGTAGGCATGTGAGGCAAAATAGGTTAGTAGTTGAAAGAAAAACAACTTTTGCAAAAAATGGCAAATACAGCTTTGAATTAGTGTATTTCAATAATAAAAGATCTACTAATTTTACTCTTTTGGTAATCTTTAAAATTTCATTATAAATCTAGGTAGGTAAACATTTTATTCCTTTTTGCCTTATCATAAATTAGCTAATTTTATTTAAAAATGTCTATACCTAACTGGTGGCCTAGTGGGGAGAAACTGTACTGCAATCCCTAAGGCGTGTGGTTTGAATCTACAAGTTGTTCAGCAGTAGGATGGGCAATCTCCATCTGTGTGAATAACAGTATCTGAAACTCACTGGAGGGTCATCTATGGATCAGCTCTGACTCAATGGTATACAACAAGAAGAACATTTAAAAAATAAAAACACAACACAGTAATACATTGAAGAAAATACACAAAGATCACCTCTACACAAAATGGCCATAAAAAATATTTGATAAATTCTGCATTATTGTGAGTTTGGCAAATCCAGATTTGTGTAAGGAAACTTCTATAATCTGACTAAGATTTACACCAAAAATTGATAGTAAAAACAACTTCATTTAATAGAAAAGCCTTGACAGCACAGTAAAGAATGCAAAGAGGAAAAAAAGCTAGAAAGATTGGAAAGGCCATCTCACCCCAAAAAGAATAGCAAAATTTAACAGAATAGCAAACATCAAATGCTGGCGAAGTTGTAGAGACACTGGAACCCTTATTCACTGCTGGTGGGAGTGTAAAATGGTGCGACCACTATGGAAGGCCCTATGGCGCTTTCTCAAAAAGTTGCAAATAGAAATATCATTTGACCCAGCAATTCCACTACTGGGAATTTATCCTAAAGAAACCATAACCGCCACCCAAGCAGATATATGCACACCCATGTTTACTGCAGCTTTGTTTGCAATAGCAAAGAGCTGGAAACAACTTAAGTGCCCATCCACAAATGAATGGACAGAGAAGCTCTGGCATATTCACACAATGGAATACTATGCTGCTCTGAAAAACAAGGAACTCATGAAATATTATGCAAAATGGATGATCCTGGAGGACAGTATGTTGAGTGAAATATCTCAGTCATAAAAGGACAAATACTGCATAGAGTCACTGTTATAAAATGGAACTGACGTCGGGGTTGAGGGAAGACAGAGGAGGAGAGGAGGAATGATGTATACTGCATTGAAACAGATGAGAGAGAGAACTGTTTAAAAGGGATATATGATTGGGTATTATTGTCATGACAGGAGTCCAGAATGAGGGCTGCACAGTGGAGTGGACTTGGGGTGAGGGACTGCATAACAATGAAAAAGTTTACTTTTCAAAGAGAAGAGTGAAGTGGGGGAAGGGGGTGGGCAGGGAGAAAAGTGCAACAGTGAATGACTAGAAACCCTAAGTCTCTGTAAACTTCATTAAAATTAATAAAAGATAAATATTTCTAAAAAAGAAAAAAGAAAAAAGATTGGAAAGGGAGAAACAAAATTATTACTTTTTAATACTGTGACTGTTAACGAAGAAAACTCAGTAAAATTACAGATAAATTATCAGAATAAGAGAGTACACAATCTTGGTAAATTAAGATCAAGATAAAAAAATAAACTGTATTCTTACATATAAATAACAAATTTAAAATCTAACTTTAAAAAATACCATTTATAGGGGACACCCAAATCAACTGGTAAAGCACAGTTCACAAGAGCAGTATTCTACATTCTACATAGGTGAATAACGATTAGGAACCTAAAAACTTTCAGGTGGCCACCTAAGATGCAATGGTGGGTCTCTCCCTGTCTGGGGCAAAGAAGACCAAAAAAAAATCAAAGACACAGAAACAGTTAGTCCATAGCCCAAACAGACCTTGCAATCAACTTTCAAGACATTAGATCAAAAGATGGAGGTAATACAAAGAATTACTGTATCAAAAATCATTGGCCAACATTGAAATGCTTCAGGAAGTACCAAGTGATCAAGAGCCAATAATAACAAAGGAAGAAGTTCAAGTTGCACTGAAGGCACTGACAAAAAATAAGGCATTGAAATAGATGGTGTACCAACGGACATGTTTCAATTAAGAGATACAGCCTTGAATAAGCTCATCAGTCTGTGCCAGGAAATTTGGAAGACAGCTACCTGGCCAACTTACTGAAACTAATCTGTTTTTGTTCTCATTCTCAAGAATGTGAAAATTATCATATAATATCATTAATATCACATGATACTGTGATAATGCATCAGAGAGCTGGACAATGACTAGGGATGATAGAAGGAGAATTGATGTCTTTGATTTGAGGTGCTGGAGAAGAGTATTGGATATATCATAGACTGCTCAGAGAACAAACAGGTTTGTCCTGGAGAGGTTGAGACCATGCTGCTCCTTGGAAACAAAGATTCTGGAGCTTTGTCTGATCTATTCTGGACATGTTGCAATGAGGGACCAGTCCTTGGAGAGGGACATCATGCTTGGGAGGGTGGAGATACAGCACAGGAGAGGAAGACCCTCGATGAGATGGATTGATTTAGTGACTGGGGTAATGCAGGTGTGTCGGAGACAGTGAGATTGGCACAGAATAGAGTAGGGTTTAGGGATCTTGTACACAGGGTTGTTATGACACGCATGCAACTCGATGGCACATAACAACAGCATCTGTGATAATGATATTGTCACATACAATATCATTAGTATCATATATGTCCTCACTGTTGTTGTTGTTGTTTGGTGCCGTCAAGTTATAGACGACTCACAGCAACCCTATGAACGAACAGCCTGAGCACTGTTCGTACACAGAGTTTCCGGAGGCAAGCCATTTCAGAAGTGGATGCCGCTCCTGCTTCCAGGCTTGTTTTAGTTGGGAAGCCAACACTGTCCACCATGGAGTGGGAAATAAATGTAGACTAAAACTCAATATCCAGTAATGGCCAGTCTTACTCATCTGATAGAAACTGGTGTAAACCATAAGACTATGGTTTTTAGCTACAATTTTGAAGCTGGCATTAAACTGATTCCTGTGGCACAACTCATAGCCGATCAATAGACAGATCTATAAAGCAAACAATAACATTCCAGACATATTCAGGACTTAGAACATTCAATTAAGCAGGAGCACAGGGCAGCATGGTCTAAGACCAAAACTCAAAGAAGGGAAAAAGGGAAAGAATGGAAGCATAGATGGAAATAAGGAGCAGAGGATAGCAGGAAAAATTATGTTACATTGGGATTACAATCAATGTCATAAAACAATGTATGAGTGAATGGCTTAACAGAATACAAATCTGCTCTGTAAACTTTAACTGAAATTATAATTTAAAAATACCATT